TGGTTTTCCTTGATCAGATGGAGTATCCTTATTCTCTGCTTCTGTAGCCATTTCACTGGAGATGACCTCCTTGAAAAACTGGTCAAAATCTGGCGAGCCATCCAGGGGTCCCTCACCCTCGTCCGCTGCATTTATGCTTAGATCAGAACGGTTAGAACTTACATTTGAGGCTCCGCTTGTCCCGCTGCTGTTTTCAATTGTTGTTTCAGCGGGCAGGGAGGCGTTCTTTGGCAACAAATGAGCGTCTTCTATATAATCAGTGTCTTTCACAGCAGAAGGAATTGAAACCACTGGTTGTTTGAATGTTACAATTCCGCTATGAGGATTTTGATTCGGGCTTGGTGAAAAATGGGAACTACTTCCTCTTATTTCCCCATTCTCGATGTAAACCATACCTGCTAAATTCAGTTTTAAGATTTAAGGAATGTCAAAATGCATCGATTAGCAAGTAAAATCTGATTACCGTTCAATGGATGATTTTCTTTAACTTGTCCGGGATCAGAAGAAGAAGAATCTGAATCTCTTTCCTCAGAAAATCCTCTGCAAGCAGAAAAAGGCAACCGATTGCCAATCAGATCATCGACAGAGGAAATTTGAAAAACATGATGCACTTAGATAGATAGGTAACTTACCTGTTGCGCATACTGGAATACACACTGTGGAAATTATCATACACCGGCAGCAAATCCTTCCGCCCAATATCAACCTCGTTTGCAGATACCTTCTCAATTTCTATCTCCCCGCCACTACGATGCGAATTTAGATTCTTGCCATCAGTGTCTGGTGGAAACATCGGATAGAAAGATACCTGGAATTTATATAATTTAAGGGAATGTCAGCACTTGTACATTCAATATGATAAGAAGACATGACCAGATCATGTTTAATTGTGGATCGTAACGGAAACAGATACGTAGATCAAACCTCTGAGTTTTGCCAGATTGGTTTTCTTCCAGAGTTTATCAGCACCTCTGCATTGGCAAGATAAACGTGGTGTTTTTCCAAAGGCTTCACCAGATCTTCAGTATCAGAGGTGTCAACGTTGACCTCCGCAATTTTCCGTCCACCAAAAGTAAGCCCGCATATGTTCTCCTCTCTCTCTGGCCAATCTGTTCTTCGGCAGACATCCCAACACTGAATGGGTTCCACTTTCACTCTCAGCTCTTCCTCAGACGCCAGGACAGAAGCTGCTCCAATTCGCGAATTGCTCTCAGCCTGGTCTCCTCCAAGCGATGGAATGAGCTTGTATTGAACTACATGACCTGATGGAGTGTAAACCAGTAAATAGTCCAAGGCATGAGCTGACGACTGCAATTCATCTGGCACTGATTGATGGAAAACAGCAGCAAGACAGCCAGAAGGGAAGGACGATTTTCCAACAATGGAACTTGCAGCATGGAAGAAATTGTTGCATTTGATTCGGCTAACCACAGAAAGAGTTATTGACGCTGGTGGTGGAAACGAAAAATGGGTTGTCATAAACGATGGACTCGACCACCATGGCAGGGACAATGTTGGAGCAAGCGTTGGCCCATCAACATGAGAATTCCGAATTTCAAGAACATTTCCTCCACCAAACGGGGACAAAACATAAATATGGCAGGTACCCTTAGATGAAACGATTGTAATCCACTGACTGTAGCTACTAAAGCAAATATCTTGTATTACCTGTGAGAATAGCACAGCACCGTTCATAGTAACAAAAATGTCGAACTGAAACATATCTACAAAAGAAAATGGAATAAGAAACTTACAGCTGATGTCATGCCACGATGTAATTTGTAAAGAGGCACATGGGAGGAGCTCCAATCATAGCTTTGAGCACCTGGTCCATTTTTTGTAGGTAATGGCATAATTCGG